AAGGAGAGCGAGCGGTGGCGGGGACGAAGAAGGGGTTGGGCAGCTGAAAGCAGTAGAGCAAAAGCACCGACTCCTTTGAACTCCATGATAGCTTGGTTTGGATGACTTTCTTACTACTTAAAGCAATTTAATAGTACAAATATCTTAATTTTTGTGCTAATTAAAAAATAGCTTTAAAAAACAATAAGAAAGTTGTCCCAAAAGAAACCTATATATATACTACTTGCTTCTCCTCTCTTACTAGGAAAGTGAGAACGGAGGCTCAACAAATATAGGAGATCATTTTCATTCGAAGAAATGATAGTTATACGTAAAAAAATGACTCCTTTCCTTAATTTGGATAAAATTGTAAAGGGTTTTTTTTAATTCGTTTTTCTTTAAAATGACGAGCGATTTTTTTAGCACAAAAAGAAAAATTGTTACAACGATACAATATTACAAAAAATTTCGAAGAAAGCAATACTACCTAAATACAACAAGAATAATAAGGAAGAAAAAACACTGGAAAAACTTTAGTTCAACAACAATCAAGAAGAGCAATCCTACTCAGCAATAAGCTCCTGCAAAATCGATCTTTGGGACAAAATTTTTTAATACTTTTTAAAATAAATTTTTGTATCTAATTTTTTTAAAAGCAATCAAAAATAGAAGTCAAAAGCTGCCAGAAATGATGAATTTAGTTAGATGATAGAAGAAATAAACTCCAGCAAAGAATTAAGAAGGTTTAGCTGAAGCAAACTCCAAGATCAGCATAAAGAAATTAAAGAGTCCAACTTAATTCTACGGAATCCGCATTAGAAGATAAAGGTCATTAAAGCCAACAAAAAAGTTTTTTTTTTTTTTGGAAAATTTTGGGGCAGAGCCCGTGTATTTAAAAAATTGAGTACAAGACTATACTAACATAAACCCAAAAAACAAAAAACAGCCCAGGTTAACAAAGAAATAAAAAACAAGGCAAAATAAACAATTATATTTGCATTGAAGATTTAGCGGCATTACTTGTATGGTATCAGATGTATGATTTTTACCTATCATCAGAGTATGAAGTATATATTCACTCAGAAGAATATGAACATGAGACAAATGAGATGTCTTGAGTTGATAAAAAACTATAATCTAACTATTCGGTATGATAGAGATTTGAAGGGTATGTTTTGATGGCCTATATCAAATAAGGATATAATAAAATTTATTTTAAAGTGTGAGTCCCTGCCAGTTAGTGAAGGAAGAGCATCAATGAAAGGCGGTCTTCTATAGTCGTTACCTATTCCATAGTGGAAATGGGAAGAGATGACGATGAATTTTTCTATTGGCTTTCCCAACACAAGGCAGGGGCATGATACTATCCAGGTTGTTGTCAATCGATTGACGAAGTTTTGTTCATTTTATTCCAATTCGACATGTTAGCGCATATATATGTCAAAGATATTATTAGTTTAAATGGAGTGTCGAAAGTGATTATATTTGATTGTGATTGTAGGTTTTCCTCCAGATTATGGAGAGGTCTTAAGCAGGGAATGTGTTCAAAGTTGTACTTCATTATGGCTTTCCATCTACAGACAGACACATAATCTGAATGGACTATTCATGTATTAGAAGATGTTCTAAGACTATGTGTTCTAGATTTTGGTGGTAGTTGGGAGGATCAATCATGCTGATAGAGTTTGTGTATAACAATAATTATTAGTTCAATGTAGGTATGACTCCTTACAAAGCTCTATATGATAGAAAGAGCATGACTCCTTTAAATTTGATAAAGGTGGGAGATAGACAAGTTATAGGGTCAGCCCTTGTGCATGACACTACAACAAAGATCTATTTTATCAGAGAAAGATTGAAATCTTCACATAATAGACAAAAGAAGTGCGCCGGTAATCGGCGTTTTTCTTGTAGCATGCTACGATTAGAAATACAGGTTGGTTGAGTATCATATTGACGACTTTGTTTATATTAAAGTTAGCCTTATTAAAGGTGCCAACAAAATATTTGGGAGAATCATCAAGCTAAGTCCAAAGTATATTAGACATTTTGAGATTATTGAGAGGATTGATAGTTCTGATTGCATGTTATTGTTACCTGATCATATGTCTGATGTTCACAATGTATTTCATGTGTTTTCTTTGAGAAAATGAGTATCTAATCTGAAAAGATATTATTTTTTGATGATGTTAAGGTTCATTTGAATCTGCACTATAAGGAAGAGCCCGATAGGATTTTGACAAATGATGTGAGAAAATTGAGGAGCAATTAAATTCCTATGGTCAAGATGCAGTGGAAGTATGTGACAACTAGAGAGACTACTTGAGAGAAAGAATATGATATGAGACAGATGTATCAAAATTTATTCTAACCTATTCTGATTTAAAAATATCGATGAAGACATTTTTGTTAAAGTAAGTAGATTGTGAAAACTTATAAATTTAATTTTTTTTTTATGTGCAGCTGTATAAGAATTATTTTAGGAGTCATTATAAGTCTAAATCATATTCCATCTTCATGAGAACATATATAGTGTAGTTCTTTAATTATCCTTATTTTTTTTCATTATTTTTAAGCACTAATAAAATTTCTTATTAAATTGTCTCTTGTGAGAACTTTGGGATCATTAGGCATTCATTTTATAAATCGATTTCACTAGAATGTTTCGGACATGATTAGCTAATTTATAAATATTTTTTTGGTAATTTTTGGATACCCTAGTTTGAAGATATAAAAGGCTATAAATGAAATTAATATATTAATATTAAATAGTTAGAATAATTATTTAATATTTTAATATAAAATCATAATCAACTAAACTAAATATATTAAATGGCATTAATCTCCTTCCCATTTTGGTTAACATAGAGCCAGACAAGGAAAATAGGAGAAATTGAGAGAAAAAAGATGAGAGAGAAAAATAAAGTTTTGATTTTGGGCAATTTCGAGTCATTTTTGTCCATCGTTCCATTTGTGAAACTTGTTCGTCTCGAGATATGTCACATTAGGCTTATCTCAATTTTAAAAAATGCAAAAAAAATTTAACTAATTTTTGATCAAATTTCTATTTATGTCAGCAAAAATGCGGATTGCATTGTTAAAACTTTCATATCATAACTTTTTTATAAGTTAAATAGATTGAGATTACAAATATTTTATGTATTTTTTTCAAAATTTTACAACAGCGATTTTAAAATTTGTGAGATTTTATTGAATAGTAAATTATCTGGACTCTAAAAAATAGTGTTGTAATGAGTTAAAAATCATAAAATATTGTTTTACACAATCTGTATTAATTTGATTATTTTCTAAAAATATGCATTTTTTAGTAGGGTTTTCTTATAACTACCGTTATAAAGAAATGTCCAATTATTACACATGCTCAATTACGCTTTAACTGTTAATATGATGAGAAATGTACATGTTATTAAATTATATATACTAGGAGAGATAAATGACCATAATCCTATGAGATTTTGTCTCTATTATGGACGATTCTGGTGCCTATAAGGCATGTTATGATGCTTAACATGTTTTGATGCTATAAGCTCAAAATGGAGCAAAAAATGATCAAAGTCCTTTGATATTTTGTCTGATTCTGGTAAATATGATATGAATTATATTTTATTTGTCTACCAAGTAATGTTATTTAAATAATTACCATGTTCTTACTTATTTCTTAGTATAGTGATCTATTATACTATATTTAACTGCTTTTAAATATTCAACAAAATATTTAATATAAGAATTTAGAAATTCAGATCAGATTGTGTGGCCAATTAAACTGTTGTAGCTCACTGTGATTTTGCTTTGGGTTTTCAAGATCTAGGAAGGAAAACGTTATTGTTGATTAGCAGTTCATGATCAAATATGATTTTATATGTATTTATGTTTTGATTTTTGTACTGTCATGTCTAGTTTATTCTTCCGTTCTACTATGAGCTTCTACATGTAGCACCATACTATAGTATATATATGTTTTGATGAAATGAAAAAAATATTGTGGATGATTTTATTTTCAGTATGTGGATGTTTAGTAGCTTTGCAGCATGTATTTTATTTAAAATGAATGTTGGAAGAGAATATGAAATATTCTAAAATTAGATATCAGGATTTGCTTGTCACAACTCAACACGACAGGGCTTATCCTGATCGGTTTGGTGACACAACTAATGATGTAGACAAATAGCAACAAGAGAGATGGTGGTGGCTAGTGGCAACAATAGTGTAGACTTTATAATGTGTTTGAAGATATGCTAAATCTATGATTTCAAAATACACTAAAGTTGAATTTACGATGTACTTCAAATACTTCAATATTTTACTCTGCATTTTTTTTGCATTAGACCAAACTTCAATATTTTCAAAACTCCTGGTCCAAACCAAATAGTCTCCAAGTGAAATAATGAAATTATAATAAGCTACCGCCAATTAGAAGGCATTAATGTTTAAAGAAAATCATCAGAACACAAAATCATTGGCATACATTTAATGATGATGATGACTATTGAACAACTTTTAATTTGATGGCAGAATAAGAATAATAATAATAATAATAATATTGTTAACTACATGATGCTCGCACAATAGCACTTCTCAAAGCCTATTTGTCACAAGAGATTTTTCTGCTTTAAAAAAAAAAAGCTCTGCATTCTACATTCATTACAAACCATGATATCAACAAAAGGACAAAAAAATTGTAAATGTTATGAGCTCTCACCAACAAATGATGCAATATTTGATACAATTTATTTTAAGATATGACTTAAAATAAATAAAAAGAAAACTTTTGTCGAAAGCGTTTTTGTAATTTTCTATTTTGTTGTAACAATTGTATCCGTATTTTGAGAGATATTTATTATTATTATTATTATTTTAATTTTTGACAAATTTAGCGATGAAAATAAAATTTGTTTCAGTAGTCAAAATAAAAATTTATCTGCAATTTAAAATTTTCAAATTCCCATCAAATTTGGACAAAAAAGAGAAAAACAAAAAATAAATTAATTTTGAACTATGAGGTCACGCATCGCCGAGGACGGCTTAGTGGGTCCGATGCACGCTCATTCACCCCGACGCCGAGTTTCTCATTGCGCCAATCGTGCCGGCGATGAACGGCTCACCCGTTGGCGTACGCTCTTCCTTCCTTCAATCGATGGAGCCACCCTATCTGTCCTCGAAGCAGCAAGGCGGGAGTGCCGATGGGGTTTTGAGTTCAGCCAAAAGTCCCCCAGTCTGTGCCGAGGAGCTGAAGGTGTCGTTGGAGGACAAATTCGAGGAATTGGAGTCGGGAAAGGAGGGCGATTTTCATCCCGTTGGTCTCGGGACGATCCGCAAGGGATACTGTATGGGGAGACGGAAGAAAACGATTGATAAGGACGATCTGTCCGAAGATTACTGTTTCGTTTGCAAAGATGGAGGCGAGATCCGTGTTTGCGATTTTAAGTGAGCGAGCTTTTTCATTCATCTTTATTTGAATGAGCTTTGGCTACATTTTATGCTCATGAATTTATTGGTTTGTTGATGGGAAGCAACCCTCAAAGTCCTTGTTTCTTAGTTTAGGGTTTTACTTGTTTGTGTCCATGCTCCGCATTCTGTACGTATTAGCTATTTGTTGGTTGGGGTGGGAGGGGAGCTTTTAGGCCGTGTCTTATCTCTCTTACATTATTGTATTTAGTGCTTTATAAAAGATGCAGTTTGATTTCTTGCTATGGTGTACGAAATCACTGTGCATTTGTTTATCAAGGAGCATTTTTCTACGATAGCCAGCCAACCTTACTCTCGCCACAGATTGAGTTTTAGTCTAGTCCACCAACACCTTTGGTCATGGCCCTACAACCATTTTCCAAACCATAAAATAAACAAGCATCAATTGACTTTTTTGTTTTTTTTTTTGTTTTATGTTTGATATGAAAGAAAAGCATATTTGGTATCTTAAATATATGTTTTTTTCTTTTCTTTTAGGTTGAATATCACATAAGTTGATTTACTTTGTGGTTTGGAAGAGGCTTGTGGCACTATGATTAGAGGTGTTGATGTATAAAAAAGAGTGATCATTAGTTTTGGTGTAGGGTTGGCCAACAATAGGTGCAAGGGTGGCCAGTACGGAGCATGAGGTTTGGTGTCTGAGAATTAACGTTTTGAAAATAGTGGAAGCACCTAAAAATTATTTGAGTGCTTTTTGGAAGTAACTTGATTTATTTTTCACAAAAAAAAAAAAAAAAAAAAAAAAAAAAAAAAAAAAAAAAAAAAAAAAAAACCAACGATAAGTCATTCAATGAACATGTTTTGGTCACAAAGAAAAACAAAAAAATGATTTCAAGCAAGCTTGTGAAGTAATAATCTTAGTCTTTCTAGAGCTGGTGGTCAATTCCCTTTGTAAGTGTTACTCAATCCGAAGATGTGATTTTTATGATGATTTGGTTGCACTTGTTCATTTTGCTAGTTTTCTCTTATTAAGTGAACTTTATCTCAATCGAACTCATTATTCTCGTAAGGTTGATGTGATTTCACTCTTCTAAAATCAATGTTTCATAATTTAGGTTTTTTGTACTTTCATGTACTGAATGATATAGAAATCCCACTCCTTGTAAGGTTGATGTGATTTCACTCTTCTAAAATCAATGTTTCATAATTTAGGTGTTGTACTTTCATGCACTGAATGATATAGAAATCTCACTCCCTGTCATGTTTTAATTTATGAATGAAAAGAAACAATCTTGGTCTTTCTGGCATTGGTAGTTAATGTGAGTGAAATTTACTGTCACACAACTCATATGTTTTGATTTGAGCTTATCACTTTCCATGTTTGCTTTGTTCGTACCTCATGGGGCTCAGCATCTCCATCCTTGGTTTGATCCTTTGGTTGGCTTACTGTTGGAATTGAATTTTGTGTGTGTATTGTTACATCTAAAATTACTTTGAAATTATTATTATTATTATTATTTTGGACATTTTTCTTTTTGATAACAGTCATTGTCTATCCCTAGCTTGGATGAGAAAGGTTGAAAGTTAATATTAAGCTGACAATTAATTGTGAAACTCATGTTAAAACTATTGAAATGAATCCAAATTTGAATTTCGCTTGTGCTAGGGCGTTTCTCAGAACTGATGTTCCTTGACCAAATTCAATTATGGTGAGAAGCAAACAATAGTGTGCTAGGTTATTACCCTTATGTGACGTACTGCTTATAATTGGTATAAGTCTGACAATGATGATTATTTTACTGTCCTTACAATTGATGGTTAACAATGATGTGTTACTTTATCTTCCATGAATCTTATTACAAAGTTTGGTGTACTCATTGTCAGTAGTTTGATGTTGGTGTGATCATCCAGAAAAAAATTTCAAATAGTCTACTATATTCCAATAATTATTATACTTGTCCTTGGTGATCTTTTACATTGACTTGTTCAACCCTCAACTTCTTTTGCCCTAAACTAAATTACTCTGCTAATTGTGCGTCATGACACTGCTATTTTGTCATCAATCTCATTTTTAATTCAATGGCCTTCTGGCATGTTTTATTTGTTGATAGGATAGAATTCCAATAAACTAAACACAATTTAGATTACTAAAAGATGATTGTTTTTTAATCCTCTTGCCTATGTGGTCAACTTCTGCAATTTGCTGTCATTAGTCTTTTTTGTGGCTTTTTCATTGTTTGTTGTGGCCAATGCATTGACTCTTTCAGTATGTGCTTTACTGCAACGCATGATAGTCCAAATAGTCTGGTATGTTTGTATACCTTTATTATTCTAAGCTTTATTCTACATGAAATTATTTTGAAGTTATATGTTACCTGGCTTCTAATCTGTGGTCTTGATTACTTCATTTTTCTGATAATGCCTTTTTTTCCCATCAGAGATTGTCTTAAATCTTATCATCCACATTGTCTGGAGAAGGATGAATCTTTTCTTGAGTCAGATGAACGATGGACTTGTGGCAAGTATTTGCATATCTCTTCTTAACCTCCTTTTCTACTTGCTTATTTGACTTGCTCTGGTTTAGCTACTTTTTGATTCTGTATCTTGACCCTTTGGGTGCTTTTGACTGCTTTGTGTTGAGGAAGGTTTTTTATTTTTTATTTTTTGCATTTTCATGCCACATATATGACCTAGTTTGTGGAACAGTAAGTATGATTATTGCAGTTTACCTATCTTTCAACTTATAAAGCACATGATTGTTGTGGCATTAGGTAATACATCGTTAATATGTGAATGAATTTTGTTGCAACATTGAGTTTGTGTTTTTTGTTAATAAATGTTTAAATTCATTCTATAATTTAGCCGACATCACATAGTTGAGATAAGGTTAATGATGATGATCCATTCTCTAATTTGTTTAGGTTGACGCAATTGATCAATTCTGTTCTGTTCTTTTCAAAACACACAAAGTCATATCAACAGGTGAAATCATCCTACCATCTCTTGCCCTTTGGGCTGAAAATTTGTAAATTTTAATATAATGTTTACACACTTCATACACTACCCTGCATTATCTCTGTACCTTTTCTGAGAATTTCTTGTTTTTTTCCAACTTTACCACTTATATTTTTATTCTTTTAGGTTAAATTCTTTTGTGTTAGTGCTATTTTCTATAGAATAATTGTAATGAATCTAAAATTCTTCCAAATAAAGGTCTATGAATCCTTTATTTCTTGGGAAAGGTTTAAGCAATTTGTGGGCTTTAGGAGTTTTGTGTTTTTTAGCTAATGAAAGACTTTCGAGCCTTTATGTGCCGTGCCAAAAAAACAGATGTTATTTTAGCTATTGCAATAAAATGAACCTTCAATTCA